GAGCGGGCCCGGCGCGGCCCGGCGCGCGAGGCACCCCCGCCGTGCCGGAGGCCTCGCCGTTTTGTTCCCCGTCCTCGCCATCCCTCGCCTGGCCCCGAAGGACGAGGAGGAGGAGGAGGAGGAGGAGGAGGAGGAGGAGGAGGAGGAGGAGGAGGAGGAGGAGGAGGGGGAGGAGGAGGAGGAGGAGGAGGAGGAGGAGGGCGGTTGAAGGGTCTCGTCCCCCCCTCCTCCCTTGTCTCGTCTTTGCCTCTGCCCTCGTCCGCCAGAGGAGGCGCGAAGAGGCCCGGAGCGCGAGCGCAGAGCTGGACAGGCGCGAGCCCTCGCCGAGAGAGGGCCTCCTCCCCCGCATCCCTCCTCGGGCTTCCACTTATGTCGGGCGTGTCCCCCTACAGGGGGATTGTCGACGAGAAGTAAGAATATTCCAAAAAAACACCCCCAAAAGGCTCAACAAAATTCAAAAAATTGTCCCCAGACTGTTCTTGGATTATTGTTTGATTATTTTAGGGGGTATCTTTTATTTTTCGTCGAAAAATCCCCCTGCAGGGGGACAGGCCCAACGGTTTCCGCTCCCCACGCCTCGCAGGCGGCCCTCGTCCGCCAGACGCAGCGCGAGGAGGCTCGCGGCGCGAGCGCAGAGCTGGGCAGGCGCGAGCCCTCGCCGAGAGAGGGCCTCCTCCCCCGCACCCCTCCTCGGGCTTCCGCTCCCCACGCCTCGCGGGCGGCTCTCGGGTCGCTCCCGGCTCGCGCTCCGCACGGTGCGCCTCCCGGCCGGAGGCCGGGCGCCTCCGACCGAGGCGGCGCGCGTTCCTATGCACGGGCACCGCGCGGTGTCGCCGGCCCGCCGGCCCAGGCCTCCCGCCGCGTCTCCTCGGCCTCGGGCGTCTCCCTCGTCGGGCAGTGGCTAGACGTTCTGAGGGCCGTTTGTGGCTCCCACGAACTGTTCTCAGAGCCTTCCTGGCTGGGGCTGTCTCGTCTTCACACCTCGTTCTCATGACATGTTTGGGTTCTAAGGGCCTTTTGTGGCTCCCACGAGATGTTCTCAGAGCCTTTCTGGATGGGGCTGTCTTGTCTTCACACATCGGGTTTCTGTTCTTAGAACTTAGACCATTTTTGGATTGTAAGAACCTTGTGTGGTTCCCACGAGATGTTCTCAGAGCCTTTCTGGCTGGGGCTGTCTTGTCTTCACACGTCGGGTGCATGTTCTGAGAGCACTGTTCTTGTTCTCAGAACATGTTTGGGTTCGAAGGGCACTTTGTGGTATGAATATAGGAATGCCAGGACGGTCGGTCCCTGCTCAATCTCGGGAGGTGGAGCCCCTCCACCACCGAGTCTCGACGCTGCGCTGCTTGACCCGACCCCGCGGTATTGGCCGTCGGCGCGCGAGCTCGTGCTGGCACCGCACCTTCGCTGGCCCGCCAGGGTTGCGCCTCCGCCGCCTCCTCCGCCCCTCCCGCCTCCTCTCGGGAGCCGGAGACCAACCAATTGCATCACCGCACTCCCCGAGGCTCGCGCGGATCTCTCGGGTCGACGCTGCGCCCCGTCCCCACGCCCCGGGGCGGCGTTCCGTTCTCTGCGCGTCTGGGAGGGGGTGCTGGGAGGGAATGGCCCAGCGCCGACCTCGCTAGTCCGCGCGGACATCCACATGCAGATGTTTACTATGGGTTTTGCTCTGCTCTGGGTCAGAGGGAGGAGGGCACCACGACAAGCGGTTCACCTCTGGCGAGGAAGTCCACGATGCCCCCCCGAGCTGGAGATTGCAGATCATGTCTTGAGCGGGACGCCGCTAATCAGGCGGACCACACCACCAGGAGGACCTTCGCGATGGTGATGGTGGTGTCGCCCTTGATTATTCCTATCCAGTTGCACTGCCGCGAGAATCTGCCACCGCGCGCGGGTGGGCGTTCGAGGAAGGGGGGAAAAGGGTTGAGGGAGTGTTCTGGCAGAGTACGTGCCGTGGAACCTGCCCGTCTGGACGTGTGGTTTTCCCCCAATCAGTGCTCGCACTGAAGGGGTCCTCGCGGATGTTGAAGGATTTGGTGAAAGCTTCCCGCCGATTTTGGTTGTTGGTTGGGTTCCCGGGTTCCCGGTTCTGGGTTCCCGGGTTCCCGGTTCCGGGTTCCGGGTTCCGGGTTCCGGGCCGATTTCGCAGGGCGGCGAGGTTCCCGGGTTCCCGGGTTCCAGGTCGATCTTCTTATCGATCGGTCTCACCATCGATCTCATTACCCCATTACACCATCGATCTCAGTCGATTTCATTATCGATCTCACAAGTGATCTCACTAGAGATCGCATGAGCGATCTCGCGATCGATCTCACTATCGATTTCATTGAATCGATTTCACTCGGTCTCACGATCGACCTTGCAATCGTCCTTACTATTGATTACACTATCGATCTCAGTATCGATTTCACAAACGATCTCAAGATCCATAGTATTAATGTTCAACTCATCCATTTGATTGGGGTTTTCTCAGGTGCAATTTCATTAGAATGAAATCAAACATTCCCCAATCAGTGCTTGCACTGAAGGGGTCCTCGCGGATGATGAAGGATTTGGCGAAAGATTCCCGCCGATTTTGGTTGCTGGCTGGGTTCCCGGGTCCCCGGTTCTGGGTTCCCAGGTTCCCGGTTCTGGGTTCCCGGCCGATTTCGGAGGGCGGCGAGGTTACCGGTTTCTTGGGTTCTTGGTCGATCTTCGTATCATTTGGTCTCACCATCGATCTCATTATCCTCTTCGCTATCGATCTCACTATCGATCTCACAAGCGATCCCACTAGAGATCGCATGAGCGATCTCGCGATTGATCTTACTATCGATCTCATTGTATCGATTTGACTCTCGGTCTCACGATCGACTTTGCAATCGTCCTCACTATCGATTCCACTATCGATCTCACAATCGACCTCAAGATCCATAGTTTCGATTTTCGAATCATCCATTGATTGGGGTTTTCTCAGGTGTAATTTGTTTTGCTGCGAGCGATCCCAACCGGAGCCTTGCTGGATGCGTTTCGGACATTGTGGGGCCAGCGTGACGTCGTAATGCCCGGAATGTTTGATGTGGTGAGCGTCGAGCGCTTGCTGTGTAGTCATGGGATGATGATAATTAGCAGTAATGTATTATCCTGTAGTCTGATGTGTTCTCCTCTGCCCCAGTGTACTCTATCTCGAAGGCCTTACGGCCGGCGCCGCCGACCCTGCAGGCGGGTTCCCCCGAGTCCCCCGCTGGCGCTCTCCCCCGAACCCCCGCCGGCGACTCCCCTCTGGGGACCTGCCGGGACCCAGGACCGGGCCCCCCCCCTCCCCCCGCCCGCCCCCTGCACCCCCCACCCTTGGCATCGCTCGGACGTGTGCATTTCTTCTCGGCGAGAACCATCGAGGACCATCCTGGACCATCGAGCAACAAAAAGCACGCACGAAACCGAAAAATGCACGGGAAATGGACGTCCGAGCGACGGCGAGCACCCCCAACCCTCCAACCCCCCCACCCCCCCGTCAGCAAGGTAAAAAGGGAAGGGAATCTACTTGATCACGACCTTCCTTTTCCTTGTGCCTCAAGTTCCTTGGGACTTTGCGATGACGACGAAGACGACGACAGCGACTCACGCACGCCGAAGGGTCAGCGGATTTCGTTGTGTTCAGTTATGTTCTCGACGGAGCGGCGTGACGTAGTGACGCTTGCCACGTTTGATGCGTCAACAAGTTGTTATATTAGATTACCTTATGTTATGTCATGGTATCGTCTCGTTTCTGTGATGCTTTTCCAATACGGCCTTACGTCGGCGCATGTTGCAATTGGCAGGACGCCGTTAATCGATTGTTGCTGCATTCTCGAGTGTTCACTTCTGTGGTTTTCCCATCCTGTGGTGTTGGGCCTTTGTTTCGAAGAGACAGCGTCCAGCGTCTCCTTCCTTCCTCATCCCGTTCCTCCCTTCTCCCCCTCACCTCTTCTCTCCGCATGTCAACCAGTTCGGCAGATCCAGTACAGCGTTTCGTGGCCATACATGGAGCTCCACCGAAGGCCCCAGGAGGGTGTACCACATGCGGCCGCCCCACCCATGTTGGCACGCCCCTCACACGCGTCGCAGCCCCATATGCGGGCTCCACCGACGGCCTTACAGGGGTGTACCCCATGCGGCCGCCCCATGAATTTCGGCACACCCCTCACACGCGTCGTAGCCCCATAAGGAGTTCAATCGAAGGCCCCAGGGAGGTTCCACATGATGCGGCCGCCCCGCTCATTGCGGCACCACTCACACGCTTCGTAGCCCCATAGGGAGCCCAACCGAAGGCCCCAGGGGGATGTACCACATGTTGCCGCCCCACCCATTCGGCACACCCCTCATGTTTCGTGGCCCCATAGGGGAGCTCCACGGAAGGCCCCAAGGGGGAGTACCACATGCGGCCGCCCCACCAATTTCGGCACACCCCTCACACACGTCGTAGCCCCTTTAGGAGCTCTACCAAAGACCCCAGGGCGGTTCCACACGCGGCCGCCCAACCCGCTTCGGCACACTCCTCACGTTTCGCGGCCCCAGACGGGAGCCCTACCGATTGCCCCCGAGTGGGTTCCACATGATGCGGCCGCTGCACCCATCTTGGCACACCCCTCACACGCTTGGTGGCTTCATAGGGAGTTCTACGTGAGGCCCCAGTGCCAGGGCCCGCACGGCACGTTTCGTGGCCCCACCGGGAGCTCCATCGTAGGCATTTGTGACAGCGCCATCATAGCGGCCCCGCCCCATATCAGCACACCCCTCACACGCTTCGTTGCCTAATAGGGGGCTCGATCTAAAACCCCAGTGGCAGCACCCGCATGGTCGCCCCGCCCCATTTTGGCACACCCAATACACACATCGTGGCCCCATCAGGAGATCCACCGAAGGCGATACTACGACGGTTCTCGGAGCTGCACATGGTGTGGTCTTCCGCCTTGGTAACGCATGCATGTCCCATGTAATGGGATTGTGGTATGGTATGCTATGGAATACTACGTTATGTT